GCATTCCGTCAGAAGATAGCACGTCTGAATTCTATCCAAATCTGAAGAAAAACATACACAGTTAATTAAATAGTCTTTGCTGAACTTTATCAGAAGGAACGTCGAAATACGGATGTACATCTTATAGGAGACTTTGTTTTGCCACGGTGATACCGTGGGTGATTATGCCATTTACATCACGTCATGTCGACTTAATGACGAAGGAAAGGCCGAACACAACTCTGTAGACCGATTAGCGGCATCAGGGACAACTTGGCCGTCAATACACTATGAAGTTTGCCATGTGGCAGGTGTGTGTGTAAACTCTTTGAGAGAGGATGTGTATTCTTTACATTTTACTTAATCTTGATGTGTGTTTTTGTCTGTATGCTGGTTTATTTTTTATTCGATTTTGTTGTTGTTGTTGTTGTTGTTGTTGTTGTTGTTGTTGTTGTACTTTTCCTAATCGATCACCCCCACTAATATGTAAGCCTGGTAGAGGATGGGAAATTATTTGACGATGAAACGCAGATTTCACAGCTCCTAGCGGGCCGTTCACAGGGATTCTACGAGCGCATCTATCAATTCTTTCTCACGACTCTTGCTCTTGTCAAGGACAACGTGAGATGTCAAGTTGGTATGAAACCTTTGTTTCCGACCAGACGATGATTGAATATCGTTGGTACGCAATTGTAGTGTTAAAAAACCTGTGTAGGTTAACTGTAAGCAACTTCGAATATTTCATGAATGTATTTATGATGAAGTCGAATATTTCATGAATGTATTTATGATGAAGTGATAGATGGATTTTGACGAAAGCTTGATCAGTATTTAAGTAATGGATATTTCTGTGAGGTGAAGGTATGTTTCAGATGTTCTTATGACCCGACGTTCTGTCGAGGTGAAATAATAATTATAATTATATTGTGTACATGTATGTTATTCTAGGCTGGATACACAAGGTGCATGCTGAAAGCGCTATCATCACCTCGTCCAATGATTTACTGTCCTCTCGATTTTCACCCTCAGCTCTCAGCCGAAGCTGCCTCGTCGGGCGCTGGTATGTTTACAATGCCGTTACACCCTGTCGGGTACTCGGTTGTAATGCTGCGGGTACAGAGGCATGATTCCAAGTCACGAGTGCTGATTCTTAGTTTATTATTCAGTACTTTGGCCACATGGCCTATTGTACAACAACACGACATAATACAATTTGGACCTGGTATTAAATACATTGTTGAGATAATGCAACAGATTTAGTAACGTAACTATTTAACAAATTTATCATACTTTGAGCAGCAATGAGAGAACTGTTTGGCAAAAATCTACTCCTTGGAGATGAATATTTACTACAAACAAGACTTTAGTAACACATGAAGCTCATCTTCCCTACCACAATAACAATGAGAACAAATATCTAAGTGATTTACACATGAAACAGCACTCGCCTTTTCCTTTTTATTGTACTATAAACAGGAAAAGGCGAGTGTTGTTTCATGTGTTTCCGTGTGGGGAAGGACCGACACCCCAGAAACGTTCAAGAGTGAAGCTGCCGACCCAACCGATGTAGCTCAATGTCCTCTCAAACAATTATTTTCAGTCTCACATTATCAATTCAGAAAGCATGGGCTAATATAGGAAGTGTTGCACAACAAATGTATAAATATGGTTATGGGTTGATTCCCAAGTTGAAAGTTTGAGATAACTGGAAACCAGTCCGTAACTTGATGTGGAACTAACAACAATTGTATTCTTAAATTAACTAAGTTGAAGATACGGTACAGGTCACTGCGAAGGTGACCGTACACAATAGAGTGGCGGTACAAATACAAAAGCAGTATGATATAGAAGCATCATTAAAGAACGTGATGGACATCTTCTCTTCGCAGCAACAATAGTCAAGCTTCCAAAATGTCAAACCTGAGTATCAAGGGTGAAATGTTGGTCTTCTTGTAATGTGAGAGAGGCGGTGGGGTAGCCTAGAGGTTAAAGCGTTGGTTTGTCCCGCCGAAGACCCGGATTCGATTCTCCTGGGTACAATGTGTGAAGCCCATTTCTGGTGTCCCCTGCCGTGATATTGCTTTAATATTGCTAAAAAGGGCGTAAAACCATACTCACTCACTGTAATGGGAGATGGGAGGCAACAGTTAGCTACCCTAATATAGATAAGAGTTTCCCCTAACTCTCTGGGACAAACACTACTGGAAAGACCCACTCGGGTGAAGTACCTTCCGGAACTCTTACTCTAAATATAGCACACCACTGCCCGTACTGAATGTCAACAGAACCGACGTAATACATTTGATACACTGTTACCCAACGCTGCCACATGTCAATATCTTAAACCTGTTTGAAATTGCCGAGATAATCTGAATGATATCCATTTGAGATGAGGCGGATTGAAGATGACACCCTAACACGAGGCGGACAGAAGATGACACTCGAAAGATGAGACGAATTAGGTTGAGTGAGTGAGTTTAGTTCTACGCCGCACTCAGCAATATTCCAGCTATATGGCGGCGGTCTGTAAATGATCGACAATCCAGTGAGCAACAGCATGAGCATCGATCTACGCAATTGGAATACGATGACATGTGTCAACCAAGCCTGACCACCCGATCCTGTTAGTCGCCTCTTACGACAAGCATGGGTTACTGAAGATCAATTCTAACCCGGATCTTCACGGGTTGACGGATAGAAGATAACACCCTGAACATGAGTCGTTTCTGGAGTTATTTTTTATTTAATTCAAAATTGTATGTCACATCTGATAGTATCACTCATTCCTGCAACGGTTTGTGAAAGGAATCTATGCTTGACTTTGAGTACAAACAAAAAGGTTCACGTGAGAGTAGGGAAGGAAGGAATTTGCAGCAACACGACTTCTGTAAGTTGTAATTATGTGGCAATAGAAATACCTGTAGATTTTATTAAAGATGAAATGTCTAACGATACCTATTCGCTGTTGAGTATTTGCACATTGTTTGTTTTCTCCACGACAGTTAATACAGTACAGTTAATGTTTTTGATATAATACTGCGGAGTTATGATAAATGGATTTTCAATTGAAAATATAAAATATGATCAACAGGTACAGTTAATTTTGTTTCTCAGTTTATTTATGAATACATAAACCCATTACATTCAGTTTAATACCCTCACAAGCCTATCACAAGGCTCTAATTGTCTTAACTGACCCAGTTACAAAGCGAGCTCTCCGCAACAATTCAAAGAATCCACTCAAATTCAGACAAGTTTATTTTTGACAAAAAAACGGTTGGATGAGTGGCTGTATCCAAGAAATAATTCGCGTATCCATAATTTGTTATTTGTTACTGTACAGTCAGAATGAACGAGGTTCCACGGTAAATCCTCCAGGTTTTTTTTATAGGTAGCCTTTGTCCGCAGAGAACATTTGGCCCCGACGACTTCCCATCACGTTTGTCAATGTCAACTGGTCTTCGCATGGTTCTATAAATAGAGAGGGGGCGGTGGGGTAGCCTAATGGTTAAAGCGTTGGCTCGTCACGCCGAAGACCCGGGTTCGAATCCCCACATGGGTACAATGTGTGAAGCCCATTTCTGGTGTCCCCCGCCGTGATGTTGCTGGAATATTGCTAAAAGCGGCGTAAACTCAGTCAGTCAGTCAGTCTATAAATAGAGAATACTACACGAGGTCTGATTACATACGAATTATACGAAACGAGTGTCCGAAAGCGAGGTTAGAAACCATAGGAAGGTCACGAGTTTCGTATAATTCGTATTTAATGAGACCGAGTGTGCTATTTTATTTATTTCCCACTTCTTACATGCATTGAATTGACAAAATAGCGTATTTTTGTTATTGTTATGATTACAAACCGAATTTTGTTCTGTAGTACACTTTTGCATGACGTCACACTGTATTGACGTCACTACGCAATTCTCGTCTGTCCCCTTGGTAACCGACGTCACGATGCATGTCAGTTATCATCGCCTCTCGTACAGCCTCCTACAGCACCCCGTTTCTTGGTTTGCAACTGCTTCACTCGGCTAACATCACTGGGGGAAACGTTGCGTTTATGTTTTTCGACGGATATAATGTCTCAGTTCGACTCACAAATAAACAGCCACTCTCCTACCCAGAGTTCCATGCGGCAAGCCAGCATAGTACCTCTGCCACAGGCCAGAAAAATGTGACGATTCGTCACATCTTGCAATGTCCATTCAATATAATGTACAGATTTCTTTTACTCTTTTATTTTTGACGAGTCTACACATCTAACTAAACATCTTTAATAGAATGGTTTAGTTTCACTGAGAAAATATCCCAAAACATGTAACACTATTTCGATTTGCGTAGAGATCCTTTGTTTACATAGGTTGTACGGCTACACCTGCTGTCATCGAAGCCGAAGGAGAGCAAACGATGCAGCCAGTTTGATATCTAAATATGTACTGTCATAGACCTAACTGTCGCAGTTGTGGAAGAATATATATGTAACAATGTAAAACATTATGAAGAGTGCGCCGCAAAGCTTTCGCGAGTCCAGTTTCTTCTTATTATGAATATGCGCGTTTGATTTCAAACAAGACAAAAGTCCGGTCACGTGATATGCAAATTAGTCTGTGGCAGTGATGTTATGTTAAGTCATCGCTGTGCCGAAGTGTGATAAACAGCGACACGGCAACGTTCGCAATGTTTACATTCCCACAATACATCTAAGTTGTAGAATGAATGAATTCACGTGTGTGTTAAGAATGAACAAGTAGTTCCGTCACAACGTGACCTAACTGAGAGGTCATCGGTTATCTAATCAAATCGTTAGAATCTCAGGTCAAGTCGTTACGACACAGGTCAACGCGATACGACACTCGTGTGACGTACGAGGTTCGTATGCAACTACCCATACGTTGACCACGTGGGTAATAAATGCCGAGACGTCACTTAAAGGTTTGTCAGGCCCGGGAGACACACGTAGTGGATGAGGGTCCTGGGATCTTCGGTGTCTGCAAACAGTAGTTTTCGTAATGAGCCACAAGGGACTGTCAATTTAATGATCTGGTTCCTAATTTATTTATTTTAAACTAATTCTTCGAGGAATCTCCTGAAAACATTTTTGTTCCTCCCATCTAGTAAATAACCAAGTATGTCTCAAAAGAATAGTCCTCTTTTTACAAAATCCCAGCACACCCTCCCTCATCATTAAAAGACGAGGCTATTCGTCAATGTATCTGAAAGGTAATGCTTACTTACATGCGCCTAAGGGACGTTATTGTCGGTCGAGTGGTTATTGTGTTGATGTGTAAAGATTACCATCTGGAAGTTACACTCAGCGGTTGAGTAATGATATGTCATTTGTTGTCATGTGTGACCAGGATAACAAGTGAATTAATAACAGGCTAGAGACCGTTAAGTCTCAAGAACAGAAAACAGAAATATATACGTTAGAAGCTCTCCATGCGAATGCAGCTGGATGTCCAGCTCGTGATATTGACGGGATTCTCCTCCAAGCAGCAAGTTACTGTTATGGCTATGCAATTATTATATTATCTGGGGCTTTTTTGTAATGTGTAGGAATTTCAACTTAGCCTCCCGTCAGTCAATTACAATAACAATGTGCACATAAAGCCATGGTTATATCGTTGTTAGTTGTATTGTGGATTGCATATGCAAGCAGAGTGCAGGCGCAAGTCGTGTCAATCATATGCAGTGATAACTACTAATACAGATCCAACATCTGTCAACATTTTGTCATACGTTGGTGGGAAGATGCCGAGACCGAATGTTGCCAGTCAACATTTGCACGTCATTTCATCATACACGACATATAGCTTGGGATCCCTACATCCAAATCAGATAACCCAATTCAATGGACCGAAAGTGGTAGACAAAGAGTTATCTCCCTTACACACCCTTCACCTTCGTCAGGACTGCAGGACATGACAGACAGACAGACAGACAGATATAGTTCATTAAAGTGTCACGTGAACGATTGCATGAAATAAAATACACAAAAGAAGCAATAAAATATTCATTCACCCAGCCAATATGGCTTATGAGACATTATATACTATTCAAAAACTATGTACATTTCGTTTTAGAATAAGATATAAGAACTAGTTAATGGATAATATTTTTTTACAGGAATAAATGACGTCTTCTCAGCATGTTATTCACAGTCGGTGATAAAATTAGCGGGTCTGGCGACATTAAAATATTTAATACATGCACATTGTTATTATAATTAAAAACTTCAATTATTACACAATTCAATTAAGCTGATATCTATGATCCTGATAAAAATAACAATTCAAAAGAAAATATGTGGGGGGGGCGTGTGCGTGTGATCCCCGACCGCGTCATACCGAAAGACGTTAAAATATGGTACTTGTTAGTCCCTGCGTGGCGCTCGGCATTAATGGGTACAACAAGGACTGATCGGCTCGGAGTCAGTATACTGTGTCTGAGTGGGGTATTCATGCTTCACTGCGGCATTGTATCTCAGTGAGCTAGCACTATAAAACCAGCTTCAGTCTGGGCTAGTACAAGCAGCCGCACATACACATACACACGCATGCACGTCGTCATATGAGCGAAATATTCTCAAGCTCGCCGTTAAACCCAATTTCACCTCACCTCACCTGTAACGACCTGTTTCCACACGTAATTGTAGATTACCGCAGCGTAGTTTAGTCAGGTTATAACATCTGCCCAGTTCGAGGAGGGTATCGGACCAAACAATCAGCAATTGTCTGCGACCGGTGGGAATTTGCCCCTGGGGCAGACTTTGGCTCTGTATTGAGATGTTTACCTCGTACAGAGCAACACCGTACAGGCCTGGACTAGCGACGAGTCTGTAATAAATCATGGTCTCTTCTACAACGCCGAGAAGGTGTGTCTACCTGCGTCAAAATGTTCCACCGAGCAATGGTCGACAGGTTGACAGAGTCAGTGGTGATGTGAGAACGGAACGCCCGTCAACCTAATCACTTATACCGTCGGACATATTTCTTAATTGGTCGAGTTTATTCAATTTGACAAATGTCTTTGCAATCAATTTATTAAATGTAAAATATTTAATTCCAGATGAACTGTAGCCCACATGCTCTGTCCTCATTGGATGATTAACTCATTCAACCCACTCTTTTAACGAATGTTATATTTTTAGATTTATGTTATGTATTTAATACACTTTTATATTTGGTATTTTATGTTTCTACGAAAAGTAAATAAGGAACCTCAAGAAAGGTGGACGAATCTAGAGCAAATGCTCACTGTCCACAAACCGTGTAGGGGAGACAACTCAATGAGACCTGTCGGTCTTAACGCCCATGATAGAACTGGCACAGTTGTATTTTTACGAACGCTTCCCTCAGATCAGAGAAAACACATTTCCGAGTTGGTTTTGCATAGAAATAATTCCCTACTTCATCCCTGTTCATTAACTCAAGCGTTCATTTAACCCCATGTTATGTTTGTGTGCTCCGTCTTCATCCATCTTCCACGTCTTGATATAACTGTAACGCTGTTCACGGTGACGTTAAACCGTCCCAATCACCCGCGCTAGCCGCTACACTGTGTTCGTCTTCATTACGGCGGTCGTGGCGCCAGCAAGTATGAAAAGGTTATCTTTAACACGGTTAGGCAAGTTATTTAACCACTTTTCTGAGTAACGACGACCGTGGACATTTACCACAGTGACGAAAACCAACAGAAAAAGTATCACACTTCCACAAGGTTCGAAGCAACGTGCATATAATGACAGCTGTCAGTCAGGCAAAACATTGCGCAGCAATGGGTCACCCTGCTGCAAGACCACACTGGGTTTCAGAACTGGATGAAAGTCGTGATATTGTTTTAGTTTAGGTTTTGATGTTTCAACAGCTGCGACCTTGCACGCTTATTTGTGAAATAGCCATTGCAAAATATCGACTGCATGCATAAAGACACAGAACATGATGCTTACCACCAACAGCTATAGATATATCTAACATTAAATACAACCAGATAGAGACTTTATATATCAGTATGTCGCCCTTTGAAAAGTTTTAGGTAGTTCCAAATTAGTATTAGTAAATGTTGGTTACAAGATACTTAAGTGCGGTCGTTGAATACAACAGTGTACACATACGATAGGAGAGCTTTGACTTTCCTGCTACAAAGAATTCGGAAGTACTTTGATACAGTCAAACAACGCTGTATCGACGTTGAATGGATCTTCGTAAATGTTTCAAGTTATCCAACGGGAGAAATATATGAATACAGTAAGAAAGGAGACAAACTTTACCTTAAGTTTCATCAAACTTCAAAACAACGGTTTTTGTGAAATACACAATGCCATTTAAATAGTGGTCAAATGTAACATATGTTATATTTGGGATTACACTTTCTTTGCAAAGTACAGAGTCTAGTACTTTTTTGGGTTGATTCCTATCCGGGATTCGAACCCACACCCTCAGAGTGAGGCTCCTAATCGCCAGCACACAAAGTCAGACGCCTAGAGGGGTACATGAAGTCCGCAGTCTAGACTACCAGTTGTCCAACTTCCATTTTTGTGGAAGCCGCGGTGGCTGAGCGGTCTAGGCGTCTGTAATTGTGTGCTGGCGATTAGGTGCCTGACTCTGAGGGTGTGGGTTCGAATCCCGGATAGGACTCAACGCAAAAATAGTTCTAGAATCTGTACTTTACAAAGAAAGTGTAATCCCAAATATAACATATGTTACAACGGTATTTGTACCACGCAGATTAACACAGTTAGTCACTCACACAAACTCTACTGTCTCCAGGCCTATACCCACTCTCACACACGCCACTGACTCCTAGAGCCATACCCGCTCATACACAGTCGACTGACTCCAGGCCTATTCCCACTCACACACACTTTACTGACTCCATGCCTATACCCACTCACACACACTCCACTGACTCCAGGCCTATATCCACTCACACACACTCCACTGACTCCAGGCCTATACCCACTCACACACACTTTACTGACTCCAGGCCTATACCCATACACACACTCCACTCACACAGGACTATACCCACTGACACAGGCCTCCACTGCAGGCCTATACCCACTCACACACGCTCCACTGACTCCAAGCCTATACCAACTCACAAACACTCTACTAACTCCAGGCCTATACCCACTCTCACACACAGTCGACTGACTCCAGGCCTATACCCACACACACACACACTTAACTGACTCCAGGCCTATACCCACTCAACACACACTCCACTAACTCCAGGCCTATACCCACTCAACACTTTACTGACTCCAGGCCTATACCCACTCACACACACACCACTAACTCCAGGCCTATATCCACTCACACACGCCCATGATAGAACTGGCACAGTTGTATTTTTACGAACGCTTCCCTCAGATCAGAGAAAACACATTTCCGAGTTGGTTTTGCATAGAAATAATTCCCTACTTCATCCCTGTTCATTAACTCAAGCGTTCATTTAACCCCATGTTATGTTTGTGTGCTCCGTCTTCATCCATCTTCCACGTCTTGATATAACTGTAACGCTGTTCACGGTGACGTTAAACCGTCCCAATCACCCGCGCTAGCCGCTACACTGTGTTCGTCTTCATTACGGCGGTCGTGGCGCCAGCAAGTATGAAAAGGTTATCTTTAACACGGTTAGGCAAGTTATTTAACCACTTTTCTGAGTAACGACGACCGTGGACATTTACCACAGTGACGAAAACCAACAGAAAAAGTATCACACTTCCACAAGGTTCGAAGCAACGTGCATATAATGACAGCTGTCAGTCAGGCAAACATTGCGCAGCAATGGGTCACCCTGCTGCAAGACCACACTGGGTTTCAGAACTGGATGAAAGTCGTGATATTGTTTTAGTTTAGGTTTTGATGTTTCAACAGCTGCGACCTTGCACGCTTATTTGTGAAATAGCCATTGCAAAATATCGACTGCATGCATAAAGACACAGAACATGATGCTTACCACCAACAGCTATAGATATATCTAACATTAAATACAACCAGATAGAGACTTTATATATCAGTATGTCGCCCTTTGAAAAGTTTTAGGTAGTTCCAAATTAGTATTAGTAAATGTTGGTTACAAGATACTTAAGTGCGGTCGTTGAATACAACAGTGTACACATACGATAGGAGAGCTTTGACTTTCCTGCTACAAAGAATTCGGAAGTACTTTGATACAGTCAAACAACGCTGTATCGACGTTGAATGGATCTTCGTAAATGTTTCAAGTTATCCAACGGGAGAAATATATGAATACAGTAAGAAAGGAGACAAACTTTACCTTAAGTTTCATCAAACTTCAAAACAACGGTTTTTGTGAAATACACAATGCCATTTAAATAGTGGTCAAATGTAACATATGTTATATTTGGGATTACACTTTCTTTGCAAAGTACAGAGTCTAGTACTTTTTTGGGTTGATTCCTATCCGGGATTCGAACCCACACCCTCAGAGTGAGGCTCCTAATCGCCAGCACACAAAGTCAGACGCCTAGAGGGGTACATGAAGTCCGCAGTCTAGACTACCAGTTGTCCAACTTCCATTTTTGTGGAAGCCGCGGTGGCTGAGCGGTCTAGGCGTCTGTAATTGTGTGCTGGCGATTAGGTGCCTGACTCTGAGGGTGTGGGTTCGAATCCCGGATAGGACTCAACGCAAAAATATTTCTAGAATCTGTACTTTTACAAAGAAAGTGTAATCCCAAATATAACATATGTTACAACGGTATTTTGTACCACGCAGATTAACACAGTTAGTCACTCACACAAACTCTACTGTCTCCAGGCCTATACCCACTCTCACACACGCCACTGACTCCAGCCAGCCATACCCGCTCATACACAGTCGACTGACTCCAGGCCCATTCCCACTCACACACACTTTACTGACTCCATGCCTATACCCACTCTCACACACACCCACTGACTCCAGGCCTATATCCACTTCCACTGACTCCAGGCCCTATACCCACTCACACACACTTTACTGACTCCAGGCCTATACCCACTCACACACACTCTACTGACTCCAGGCCTATACCCACTCACACACAGTCCACTGATTCCAAGCCTATATCCACTCACACACACTCTACTGACTCCAGGCCTATACTCACTCACACACACTTTACTGACTACAGGCCTATACCCACTCACACACCCTCCACTGACTACAGGCCTATACCCACTCACACACGCTCCACTGACTCCAAGCCTATACCAACTCACAAACACTCTACTAACTCCAGGCCTATACCCACTCACACACAGTCGACTGACTCCAGGCCTATACCCACTCACACACACTTAACTGACTCCAGGCCTATACCCACTAACACACAATCGACTGACTCCAGGCCTATACCCACTCACACACACTCCACTAACTCCAGGCCTATACCCACTCACACACTTTACTGACTCCAGGCCTATACCCACTCACACACGCTCCACTAACTCCAGGCCTATATCCACTCACACACACTCCACTGAGTCCAGTTCTATATCCACTCACACACACTCTACTGACTCCAGGCCTATACCCACTCACACACACTCTACTGACTCCAGGCCTATAACCACTCACACACACTCTACTGACTCCAGGCCTATACCCACTCACACACACTCCACTGATTCCAGGCCTATACCCACTCACACACACTTTACTGACTCCAGGCCTATACCCACTCACACACACTTTACTGACTCCAGGCCTATACCCACTCACACACGCTTTACTGACTCCATGCCTATACCCACTCACACACACTTTACTGGCTCCAGGCCTAAACCCACTCACACACAGTCCACTGACTCCAGGCCTATACCCACTCACACACACTTTACTGACTCCAGGCCCATACCCACTCACACACGCTCTACTGACTCCATGCCTATACCCACTCACACACACTTTACTGACTCCAGGCCTATAACCACTCACACACACTCTACTGGCTCCAGGCCTATACCCACTCACACACAGTCCATTGACTCCAGGCCTATACCCACTCACACACACTCTACTGACTCCAGGCCTATCCCCACTCACACACCCTCCACTGACTCCAGGCCTATACCCACTCACACACAGTCCACTGAATCCAGGCCTATACCCACTCACACACTCCACTGACTCCTGGCTTATACTCACTCACACACAGTCCACTGATTCCAGGCCTATACCTACCCACACACTCCACTGACTCCTGGCTTATGCTCACTCACACACCCTCCACTGACTCCAGGCCTATACCTACCCACACACACTCCACTGACTCCAGGCCTATACCCACTCACATACAGTCGACTGACTCCAGGCCTATACCCATTCACACACAGTCGACTGACTCCAGGCCTATACCCACCAACACACAGTCGACTGACTCCAGGCCATCAGCCCAAGGTTTATTACATCAAATCCGTCAGTCAGGCCAGCCGTGAAGAAGTTGATACTGATGACCCAACCTAAAGTCGACAAATGACTCTACAGCTGAGTGCAGATAATGTCGGGATGCCTCTTTCGCCGCCATGTTGGCTGCCCTATGTTTAACGGTAGTTATCTTAAACCTAAGTCCTTCACAACTAAATCAGTCCGTGTTGTTCATCCGTAAATCCATGTTTTCAGACTGTTAAGCATTTCGCCAGTGAAGACTATCTTACCAACTGGTTACATGTGTCAGTGGTAGTTATATTGAATATTTACCTTCTATTTGCATAAATATGATCCTTGTGAACGTGATCTTTGCATGGCCACATTCCGCGTGAGTTCCTACCGACTTAGCGTCAGGACTGCCTTGGATAAAGGATGCCTTGGTCCATGAAATGAACACTATCCTCCATCATCTGCAGTAAATCTCCAATCTTATCCCTGCGTTGTTATCACTGCCAGGAGTTAAATTGAGGCATTGCGTGCACTCGTGTGTTCTTACCACTTCGGGTGATAATGTATTGCATTCTTATCGTATTCTTATCAATAGATCAAAAGAGAACAGCCATTTATTTCTCTGGGGCGAGTACATCGGCATATGTGAAACAGTGAAAACTTACTGGACATTACTCGTATAGTCTTCTTGAACTAAGTTGGCTGAGTTAAACACTACTCCAGTCACAGTGTACCAGGGCGTGCCAGCTTACAATGTGGAAGGAGAACTCGACGGGGGTCACAGACGTTGACCACTTTGCTTATTGAGTGATTGAGTTTAACTTTATAGTCACATCGGCAATATTTCAGCCATAAACAGTCAATATGTTAACAATCGATAATATCATATAAAATATAAAATCTGTGTACAAAGGGCAGTAAAAAAAGCTAGAAGATCACAATTTGAGGTATTAAAGCAAGCATTTAACTTTAAAAATATTTTTACTATTAGGGACAATACAATATGAAAATGGGCTATAGATCGCCAACAACTGAAGGTAGATCACCATACAAGGGACCATGGGGACTTACAGTACCTTTGCTACCTGCATGGACCCTAGCTGGATTTACACCATCCTTTCAGCCGCTGACGATTGTAGGAAAATTTAGCCATGATTTAAAATTACAAAGATACTACGTTTTTAAAAAAACGGAGAAATTTAAATTGCCTTCCCTTTGAATGTTTCGGGACTTACATACCCTCTCAGGAGGACATAATCCACTTTGCCTAGACACACAAGACCACGGATGTGGTGGTGCCAAATCGAGAAACATAACCACGACAAAACAGGATCTTTGCGTTTGAAGGGGACGTAACTCCGCACAGTGAATTACGACATCTCAGACGACTTGACCACTCGTGCCCCGCTAATACCATTCACGGTTTGAAGTCAAATACATCGCTGGACCATTCCACTGCACATACTAACGGGCTGACATGCACAGTGACACGGCAGTGTGACACTGCCAACATCTATCAGCACAATTACGTTTGTTAATATCAGTCTTTGTGGTAATAGAGCGGGTATCAAACGACTTATATTCTTTGAAGAGGCCAACCAGCCTCCGGCAAGATTGGACTATAAGGAGGAGGAAGCCCTGACAATGACCCGGATGTAATCGACGACTCGGAATCCCCTTCATGTAATCGCCAGCAGTTGAACGGCGTTATTAAACAATTGTGCTGAAAAATCATATCCGAGCAGACTGCTTTTCATATAACTTCGCAATTATAACATAACATCATTTCTGTTTGAACGTGCGCTGAACTGTCGTCTTCAGCTGTTTCTATGTGTCGGTCATTATCAATAAATGAAGCTGTATACATGCACGGTTGGATCTCTCGAGAGTTGCCTGTGAACTAGTTTAGCTTGCGTCTGAGTTGCCTGTGAACTAGTATAGCTTGCGTCTGAGTTGCCTGTGAACTAGTATAGCTTGCGTCTGAGTTGCCCGTGAACTAGTATAGCTTGCGTCTGAGTTGCCTGTGAACTAGTATAACTTACGTCTGAGTTGCCTGTGAACTAGTATAGCTTGCGTCTGAGTTGCCTGTGAACTAGTTTAGCTTGCGTCTGAGTTGCCTGTGAACTAGTATACGTTGCGTCTGAGTTGCCTGTGAACTAGTATAGCTTGCGTCTGAGTTGCCTGTGAACTAGTATACGTTGCGTCTGAGTTGCCTGTGAACTAGTATAGCTTGCGTCTGAGTTGCCTGTGAACTAGTATAGCTTGCGTCTGAGTTGCCTGTGAACTAGTATAGCTTGCGTCTGAGCTGTCTGTGAACTAGTATAGCTTGCGCCTGAGTTGCCTGTGAACTAGTTTAGCTTGCGTCTGAGTTGCCTGTGAACTAGTATAGCTTGCGTCTG